AAATCACTGAACCTTAAGCCTGGCCTTGGTGTAAGGTAAAAGTAGAAGGCTTGGACCACCGTAGCACTGCACTAGTTATCTTACTTCACAGAGTCATGCCTCTTGTCTAAATTTTTCCTTCTTGGTTTCATAATCAATGTATCCCCACACCCTGTTTAAGCTCCAGTAAAGTAACAGCAGCAGTGTTCCTCTTGGACAGCAGAGATTCATATTTAGGCTTAGTCTTTTCTCCTCCCACAATCTGAAGAACCTCGAGCAATGTTCCCTCTAATCTTTTCCATGCATGTGATTTTTTGCATCCATGTGCAGGATACTTTTTATGTGCACCAAAGCATATGTGAATGTGCACCATCAGTAGAAACAAAGAAAGCCTAGCTGTGGGCACTCTACTAATCAGCTGGGTGGTATCTGAGCGGCTGCACACATGCCCAGCTTACAGAGAACACGGATCTCTAGCATCTAACAAAATATTCTCGCTCTCACCTACTGCACAGTTTCAGTCTCTCCCATCCTTGAGTTCTGCAAACCCTATGGTAAGCTTGGCTCAAATTGGCTAATATCTAATGCAGGGTTCTCTGCAGCCCTCTTCCAAAGGTTCATAGCTCAGCCCCTGACTGGGCTCTATAATTCACTAGCGGTCTACCTGGCTACCACAGGGCTACTACTATTTGGACTCCCTGCAGATCCATCTGGCCCCCATAGAGAGCCTTTCTTTTGTGAATGGGTAGAGACTCCCAACACAGTTCCATGAAGACAAGAAAAGGAAGTTCTTTGTTTCTGGTAGATGGAAACTAAAACATTGGGACAGCTGTAGGTATGTAAATTAAGCCTTCTTTGGCCACTCTGGAGAATCAAAGTACAGATTCTCTTTCCTCTTCCTTCTGAGTCTGCCATTCAGGGCAAATTGCATTTTCAGTGTGCTTTGTTTTTCAATTAAAGATAGTAACAGTAATTTAGAAAGTCACATTTTATGTTCAAGATCACTGATTTTAAATATCTTCTCTCTAATGCTTACTGAAAGGTGTAACTCCTCAGACATCACGTCTGATGGTTATTATGCTAATAAAACTGATAAGGCAATATAGTAATAAGGCAGAAAGAATTAGAACAGTATTATGTATATGAAAGTAGACATTTGAAAGACAGTAAGATTACACTATGCATCTTCAAAAAGAAGGAGAGTTATCTGGCAGGGGTGTCTGAATGCTGCACCCTGCAGAACTTAGTTACTATTCTAATGGGCTAGCAATGAACTGAATGACAAGATGTTCCTTTCTCTGCTAGAATTTGAGGGGATGGCTTCTGAGGCTGAGAATAAGACACCAAGGCAACTTGACAACTTATTCTGTATCTTGTGATGTTTTCCTGGAATTCTTCCACTGAGAAAGAGGTAGTCCTGGGAAGAATTTGATTTGCGACGTCTGCCAAGAATTCTACTTCTTAAGCCCATAAGTTTAGACCTGATCTACATTACCACGGATCATTGATCTGTTATGCAACTTCAGCTACAGGAATAATGTCGCTAAAGTAGATGTATTTAGAACTACTTACTGTGGTGTCTTCACTGCCATGAATTGATGGCAGATGATCTCATGTCAACTCTTCCTACACTTCTCATTCTGGTGGAGTGCTGGAGTCAATGGGAGAGTACTCGGTGGTCGATTTATCACATCTATACTAGACTCAATAAATCGATCCCCCACTGGATTCATCGCTGCCTGCCTGACAGGCAGTGCAGACATGCCCTTAGATGGTCTACTGGCCAGCCACATGAAGGCCTTTTGTCTTTGCACTGCTATTGGCATGCACAGTTACTGGCAAGGAATGAACTGATGGGGGAAGGCAGGGAGGCTGCCAAACTGAGGAGTGATAAATAGGGAAACCAACAATTTACCAAATGATCCTCAGATTCAGGAGGATTCAGTATCTCCTTTGGGGACCTCACCCAGATCCTAACCCTCCTCCCAACCATAGATCCTCCATGTTGTCGATCAGCCAGAAGGATTTTCTAGGATCTAGGGAAAAGGAGATGGAGAATGCTACTTCTGTGATACTTCCTATTACACACATCCCCAGGTCAGCATCTGTTGAATCCCAGACCCCTCCACCTACAGATGGCAGTGTAACAATAAGACCCCAAGTTTGCAAGTCAAATAAGTGCTTCTTGCAGCAGTGAACTTACCAGTAATGAACCAATTTGCTCTTGTTGAACCACCACTAACATCAATCAGTTTTTGATTGAGTATTACAAAGGTCAGACTGTTTTGAAAACAAAACAACTTACCTCTCTATTGTTTTCTTATTTATCACGTAGACTTGTTTCTCGTTGACCACGAACAACAGACCATGTAGAA